TTGTACTTGAAGTATAGAAAAAGAGGAAGAATTATGTTAGATTACCTTTTCATCCAGTACCTGAACAATAACACAACACTCATTATATTTTCAATAGGCACTAAATTCTGGTTTATGTCTCTCATTCCTGGCAATGCAGTATGAACACTGAGAAATAATTCTGTCAATTTTCTATCCTTCAGCCTCAAGCATAAAAAGGCTCAGTAACTGCCTCATGCTTAGTTGTCTGGCACCTCTTCACTGCTGAAAACTACTCAGATCAGGATGGTTTTCTTTGGGACATCTTAAGGGTGGTGGCTAACACTGACAAAATAAGAATAGAGTGGCCTATTTGAATGAGAACATCTTTTTAAATTGAGATAAAAATAGCTTGAAGAAACTGTTTTGATTTTCTGACATGAAAAAAACAGGACATGGATTTGGTCTAACTCAGCTATATTTACTAATGACTCCTGATTTCTGCACAAGCAAATGTGTATCTCTCTCAGATACGTATTTTAAGTAAATATCCTCACTGTTCTTCCCCTTTACTCAGGCCAAAAATCTAGGGTCAATCTCATTTCATTTTTCTTTCACATCCTTTTTCTTCATATCAGCAAGTCTTGATACTGTCTGAAAAAAAATGTATCCTTATTTATTTGTTTACTTATTTACTTATTAACTTATTTATTTATCGATCTACCTATCTATTCATCTATCTATATATCTATCTATTTATTTATTTATGTATTTTCCTTTTCATCCACTATTTTTCTCCGAGCCTAAATCACCATCACTTCTGCTATGGTTTGAGTGTCCCCTGACGCCCACCTAGCTCATGTTGAAACTTAACTCACAATATGCTGGTGGGAGGTGGAGACTTTAATAGGTTATTGGATTGGTAGGATTATGCCCTCATGAATGAATTCATCATTCATGAAGTAAGGAGTTGGTGGTTTAATGGGTGGTCAGGGGCATGGTTCTGATGGCTTTATATGGATAGCAAGTGAGAAGGTTAGCTTTCCTGCTCATGCCATTCTCACCATGAGATACCCTGCATTGCTGGAGATAAAAGGCTCTCACCAGGTATGCCCCCTAGACCTTTGACTTCCCAGCCTCCAAATCAGTAAAAACTCAATTTTGTTTCTTTGTAAATTACCCAGTTTCAGGTACTTCATTATAAGCAATAGAAATGGACTAGTACACTTATCTGAATTATTTCATTAGCTGTCTAACTAATCTCCTTTCTTGTCTCCCGCTTGAATATTCTTCACATAGCACTCCAGATGAATAATTTTTAAATGAAAATCAGAATATGTCACACCCTCTCCTCCACTGTGATTCTTAAAACTCTCCAGTGTCTTCTTATTACATTTGTGGTAAACACAAAACGAAAAAATCTTGTGGTAGTCTACACGTCCTCTGAGACCTGGCCACTGCCTGGGTCTCTGATATTAGCTGTTGTCCCTCTCCTGTTCACTCACCAAGCCCCAGTTTTGCCAATTTTCTCCTCGATGCAACAATCTGGCTCTAGGTCTTAATATGGTCAGATCTACTTTATTACTCAGGTCTCAGTTCACATGTCACCTCCTCATATGTGCAGTCCCAGACCACCCAAACTGCTATACTGGCCTGTATGCAATACCATCCCAATCAATCTCCATGAAATACTGTTACCTTCTTTTAAAAATTTACTTATATTTACTAAAGTTGCCTTATTTATTTTTCATCTTAACTTATGATGTATAAGATCATTTAATTTGCCTTTTATCATTTAATTACAGAGCTTAAAATTTCATGATTGTCACATGATGGGAGCTCAAATAATACGGGGTGAATTAATAAATGTCTTTATTCCACATGTTAGGTGCTTTGAAGATGTTGAGTAAGGTAAATAAAAGATGACTTCTATGTACAAGGAGTTTCTAGTCCAGAAAAGATGTTAAAATCTCAAAGGATACATTTCTTCCCTTCCTTTTCTCTGTAGCCATGGGTCTCTGAATCTGTCCTCTCCAATAGTGAGTGAGAGCTCGATTGCTGCTTAACAGGAAGTTGCTTAAGCAGCAATTGGGCTCTCACTCAGAATTGGAAAGGACAGATTCAGAAGTCCATGGCTGGAGAAAAAAGGAATAGGACCAGGAAGACAGTTGTTTAAATACAAATGGGGAACTTGAAATGAGAGAGAACAGATTCTGAGGAATTACTTTAGTGGGCCTACAGAAAAATAATTTGAAAAAAGAAAGACACTATGTGCAAATGAGGGAAAATAAAAATTTCAAACACAAGGAGAAACACTACTATGAACCATGTGCTTGGCTGGCTTACTCATTTATTCCAGCCTAAGAGTCCGTGACCATGTAACTTAAAATTAGTGTGGGCCACTGTCATAAGTAGTGCATAGTTCTGCAGTGTCCAAGCTGAAGCTAATAAACACTCAGTGTNTTCTGTAGCTCCCTATTATAGCTGCATTGCAAGGTAGAACTTCATGGAATTCTCGTGAATACAGAAGAGGAAACTTTGAGTTTTCCCTTCTCTATTGCAATCAATTTAATGCAATAAATCCCCCCACATCATAAAGCTTTCTCTGTAGTAATTTATTACCTGTGCTGCAAATTCTTTTACAGGAGGGTATTCCTCACAAAATTGTGGTATCGTAAGAGATTGGGAAGAAGATAGATACCCAAGGGTCAGAGAAGTAAGAGGGAGGACAGAAGAATGAAGTTGTATTGAAAGTATAAAAAAAGAGGAAGAATTATGTTAGATTACCTTTTCATCCAGTAACTGAAGAATAACACAACACTCGTTATATTTTCAATAGGCACTAAATTCTGGTTTATGTCTCTCATTCCTGGCAACAAAGTGTGGAGACTGAGAAATAATTCTGTCAATTTTCTATCCTTCAGCCTCAAGCATAAAAGGGCTCAGTAACTGCCTCATGCTCAGTTGTCTGGCACCTCTTCGCTGCTGAAAACTACTCAGTTAGATCTCACCTAAAAAGTAATAGGATGGTTTTCTTTGGGGGTATCTTAAGGGTGGTGGCTAACACTGACAAAATAACAACAGAGTGGCCTGTTTGAATCAGAACATCTTTTTAAATTGAGGTAAAAATAGCTTGAAGAAACTGTTATGGTATATGATATGAAAAAATGCATGACATTGATTTGGTCTAATTCAGCTGTATTTACTAATGACTCCTGATTTTTGCACAAGCAAATGTGTATCTCTCTCAGATACATATTTTCAGTAAATAACTTCACTGTTCTTCCCCTCCACTCGTGCCAAAAATCTAGGATTAATCTCAATTTATTTTTCTCTCACCCCCTTTTTCAACATATCAGCAAGTCTAGACACTGTCTGAAAAAATGTATCTTTATTTATTTATTTATTTATTTATTTATTTATTTATTTTCCTTTTTATCCACTATTTCTCTCCGAGCCTAAATCACCATCACTTCTGCTATGGTTGGAGTGTCCCCTGACGCCCACCTAGCTCATGCTGAAACTTAACTCCCAATATAGTGGTGGGAGGTGGTGACTTTAATAGGTTATTGGATTGGTAGGATTACCCCCTTATGAATGAATTCATCGTTCTTTAAGTAATGAGTTGGTGGTTTAATGGGTGGTCAGGGGCATGGTCCTGATGGCTTTATAAGGATAGCAAGTGAGAAGGTTAGCTTTCCTGCTCATGCCATTCTCACCA